GAGAAGGCATATCAAATTCTATCTCTGACCGACGAGAGCAGCTGGGAGCTCCCTGTGTCAGATTCTGATTACGAGCCAGTTCCAAGTAGTGAAACTGTAACGGAATCAGAGGAGGAAGAAAGTTTGCCCACAAATGAAGGCGTTCTGGTGAAGAGCAGGCTACCACCAGTAGTGCAGTGGCATCCACTAGTAGTGCAGTGGCATCCACCTCTAGCTCAGTGGCATCCACCAGGAATGGAGTACCTCAGCAAGAAAGGCCAGGGATTAGTGGGGTGTCATGTCAGCCCCAAAGGTTTAGAGCTCATGCCAGTCTACCAGATGCCCTTGAAAACCCTCTATGGCTTCCTCCTGAATCAGGAGCAGCTAATATTCCCCTTTTTACCGGTCAGCCTGGAGTCCAGACCAACACAGAAAATTTTGCATCTATAGATTAGTTCAATTTATTTTTCATGGATTAATTATTATGTTTGATTGTGGACCAGTGTAACCTCTATGCCCAACAATTTATAGCCAAAAATCCAACTTCCAGTTATTCCTGTCCCTATGAATGGAAACCGGTAACAGTGGAGAAGTTCAACATCTTTTTGGGCCTCATGTTAAATATGGGACTGACAAAAAAAAATTAAGTCTACTCGTATTGGTCAACCCACCCACTACACCACATGCCCATTTACTCGTCAGTTATGCGAAGAACACAATATCTGATGATCATGCAGTTCCTTCACTTTATTGATAACACCCAGTGCCCCCCACGAATTGACCCTGCATATGATAAGCTGTATAAAATTCAGCCCCTTCTCAATTTTTTTTCAGAAAAATGTGCCCAATTATATTTCTCAGACAAAAACATCTGTGTAGATGAATCACTTGTTCACTTTACTGGGAGGCTGAGCTTCAAGAAGTTCATCCCCAGCAAAAGGGCCCGATATGGGGTGAAACTGTACAAGTTGTGTGAGAGAGCCACGGGGTACGTGTATTCATTCCGTGTGTATGAAGGAAAGGACACCCAGCTGCATCCCCCTCAATGCCCAGATTATATTGGAACCAGTGGGAAAATCGTTTGGGATCTTGTATTTCCCCTCTTCAATAAAGGTTACCATCTGTATATGGATAACTATTATACAAGATTGCTCATTTTCTGCAATCTCTACCCAAATCAAACACTGGCTTCTGGCACTGTGAGATCTAGTAGGAAGGGCTTCCCACAAAGGCTGGTGAATACAAGATTGAAAAGAGGGGAGTCGGTGTGTTTGGGGAATGAGGAAGTATTGGCTATGAAGTGGAGGAACTAACGTGATGTATATTTACTTTCCTCAATTCACAATGACACCTTTGTGCAAATCTACAGAAGGAATGGCCCAGTCCAGAAGCCCAAATGCGTACGTGTACAATATGTTCATGGGGGAGTTGATCTTAATGACCAGATGATCCAGCCCTACCTTGCAACAAGAAAATCCCAATATTGGTACAAAAAAATTCTCAATTTATCTTTTCAATTTGGCTGTTTATAATTCTTATGTAATTTACCGCAAGTCCACTGAAAGACCCGAAACCTTTCTGAAATACCAGGAGGATATTCTCATTGCCCTTTTGTAGCCAGAAGGCCCACCAGAAAGCATTCGCTCAGATGCTGTGAGCAGACTCCATGAACACCATTTTCCTGATAAATTGCCTCCCAGAGAAACAGGCCAAAAACATCAAAAAAGATGTCGGGCGTGCTCCAGAGCGGGAGTTAGATGAGACACCATTTATTATTGTCCTCAGTGTCCTTCCCAATCAGGCGTCTGCATAGGGGAATGTTTCAGACGTTACTATACTTGTCTGCAATATTAGAAAATTCCTGCCTATTCCCATCTGACCATTTGCCTTCACACTCATCATGCCACTGCCTGCTCCTGAACTGACCCTGGCCTGTTATTTGACCGTGCCTCTGCCTGCTGCCTAAACTGACCATACATCTGCCTGCACCTGAACTGACCCTGGCCTGTTATTTGACCGTGCCTCTGCCTGCCGCCTAAACTGACCATACATCTGCCTGCACCTGAACTGACCCTGGCCTGTTATTTGACCGTGCCTCTGCCTGCCGCCTAAACTGACCATACATCTGCCTGCACCTGAACTGACCCTGGCCTGTTATTTGACCGTGCCTCTGCCTGCCGCCTAAACTGACCATACATCTGCCTGCACCTGAACTGACCCTGGCTTGTTATTTGACCGTGCCTCTGCCTGCCGCCTAAACTGACCATACATCTGCCTGCTCCTGAACTGACCCTGGCCTGTTATTTGACCGTGCCTCTGCCGCCGCCTAAACTGACCATACATCTGCCTGCACCTGAAGTGACCCTGGCCTGTTATTTGACCGTGCCTCTGCCTGCCGCCTAAACTGACCATACATCTGCCTGCTCCTGAACTGACCCTGGCCTGTTATTTGACCGTGCCTCTGCCGCCGCCTAAACTGACCATACATCTGCCTGCACCTGAAGTGACCCTGGCCTGTTATTTGACCGTGCCTCTGCCTGCCGCCTAAACTGACCATACATCTGCCTGCTCCTGAACTGACCCTGGCCTGTTATTTGACCGTGCCTCTGCCTGCCGCCTAAACTGACCATACATCTGCCTGCTCCTGAACTGACCCTGGCCTGTTATTTGACCGTGCCTCTGCCTGCCGCCTAAACTGACCATACATCTGCCTGCACCTGAAGTGACCCTGGCCTGTTATTTGACCATGCCTCTGCCTGCCGCCTAAACTGACCATACATCTCCCTGCTCCTGAACTGACCCTGTCCTGTTATGTGACCACGTCTCTGCCTGCCGCCTAAACTGACCATACATCTGCCTGCTCCTGAACTGACCCTGGCCTGTTATTTGACCACGCCTCTGCCTGCCGCCTAAACTGACCATACATCTGCCTGCTTTGGAACTGACCCTGGCCAGTTTATTGACGATGCCTCTGCTTGCCGCCTAAACTATCAACCATGATTCTGCCTTCCACCTGAATTGACCTCGGCCTGGTAATTATAATTGACCACTCTTTTGCCTGCCACTTGGACTGATCTTTTGCCCTGCTACTGTAGTAGTGGGATTCAAGATAGCACAGAGGTCTCACATATGTGAGGGTCTCCAGAGAAGTTTTTCTGAGCGGAGAAAAATAAGTGGTTTTCTCCGGGTTATGTCATTCTCGGGTTAGTTTCTGCAGAGCGGAGGCTTCAAAGAGATTTGGGTACGAAGAAGACTCTACCCCTGTGCCCAGGTCCTACCTTACCAAGGCCTTAAGGCTCATGTTTCTGCCAGCTGCTAACTAACCCTGGCCTGCTAATTGATCATGCCTCTGCATGAACTGACCACACCTCTGCCTGCTACTTGTACTGACTATGGACCATGTACCTGCCTACTGCCAGTACCAATACTGTGGGTGTGCTGGATGCTGCCTGGACAATTAATTTGGCTGTTGCTGACCACATACCTGCCTGCTGCTTGGACCAATTCTTTGGCTGTTGTTAGCCACACATCTGCCTTCTGCCTGGACCAATGCTTTGGCTGTACTGTCAATATCTCTGCCTGCTGACTATGGAAAGTATTCTTGCCTGCTGCCTGGACAACTGCAGTAAAACCACAGGTAACCTTGTGTTTATCCTTTGCTCAGCTGAATGTGGTCATTTTGTGGGTCCTGGTGCTCCAAGGCCTTCAAAAATGTGATAGGCAGTCAGGAAATTAGAAGATGGGTGGAGACTAAACAAAAATAATCTAAAAAACCTTCTGCACTGCTATAGGTATAGATAGGACTATTGAAAAAAGCTGCAAACACCTAGACCTAGACACCACTAGCATAAGGAAACAAAACAAATAAAATGGTGATGTGCTAATATCAGTAGTACTAAGGGCACAATAATTTAGTAGAGTGGGGAGACAAAAAAAAATAACCCCAAAACAGAGGTTATAAGTATAAAGGCCTGAATCCAGACCTAATTAGGTGCAATATGAACTGTGACAACAACAACGTGAGTAATAATCAGCAAGTGAACATAAATAATAAATAAAAATGTAAAGGCCTGAACCCAGACCAAACTAAGTGCAATATAGATTGTGATGAAATACGTGAACAATAGTTACCAAGTGAACATAAATAATGTATTCAACATAAAAGGACTGACACGTCCTAAATAAAAGTGCACAAAAAACACCATGCAAAGAAAACTGTGCCAAAATCAAATGGCAAAAAATATGTGCAAAACTAATCATACAAGGTGCACAAAACTATAAATGCATGAAACTATAAAATGCATCATAAATAATGTAAAGGCCTGAAACCAGAGCAAATTAAGTGCAATATGAATTGTGATGAAAACAACATGCACAATAATCAACAAGTGGACAAAAATGATGTATTCAACATAATAGGACTAACACATCCTAAATAAAAGGGCACAAAAAGCACCTTGCAAAGAAAGCTGTGACAATCAAAAAGCAAAAAATATATGTGCAAAACTAATCATACAAGGTGCATGAAACTAAAAATGCACCTTATAATCAGGATTGATGCCAGTGAAAAACACACAGTGGAAATAAATGTGCGTCAATAACCACAAAAACGAATTAAAGCAACTGTGTCCGCAGTCTCTGGTCAACTCCTGTACTATGTCTGCAGTCTCTGGTCATCTCCTGTACTGTGTCCGCAGTCTCTAATCATCTCTTGAACTGTGTCCGTAGTCTCTGGTCATCTCCTGTACTGTGTCCGCAGTCTCTGGTCATCTCCTGTACTGTGTCCGCAGTCTCTGGTCATCTCCTGTACTGTGCCCGCAGTCTCTGGTCATCTCCTGTACTGTGCCCGCAGTCTCTGGTCATCTCCTGTACTGTGTCCGTAGTCTCTGGTCATCTCCTGTACTGTGTCCGCAGTCTCTGGTCATCTCCTGTACTGTGTCCGCAGTCTCTGGTCATCTCCTGTTCTGTGTCCGCAGTCTCTGGTCATCTCCTGTACTATGTCCGCAGTCTCTGGTCATCTCCTGTACTGTGTCCGCAGTCTCTGGTCCATCTCCTGTACTGTGTCCGCAGTCTCTGGTCATCCCCTGTACTGTGTCCGCAGTCTCTGGTCATCTCCTGTACTATGTCCGCAGTCTCTGGTCATCTCCTGTACTGTGTCCGCAGTCTCTGCTCATCTCCTGTACTGTGTCCTCAGTCTCTGGTCATCTCCTGTACTGTTTCCGCAGTCTCTGGTCATCTCCTGTACTGTCCGCAGTCTCTGGTCATCTCCTGTACTATGTCCGCAGTCTCTGGTCATCTCCTGTACTGTGCCCGCAGTCTCTGGTCATCTCCTGTACTGTGTCCGCAATCTCTGGTCATCTCCTTTACTATGTCCGCAGTCTCTGGTCATCTCCTGTACTATGTCCGCAGTCTCTGGTCTTCTCCTGTACTATTTCCGCAGTCTCTGGTCATCTCCTGTACTGTGTCTGCAGTCTCTGGTCATTTCCTGTACTATGTTTGCAGTCCATTGGTTCAGAATATTTTTTTCTTGTTTTCCTCCTCCAAAACCTAGGTGCATCGTATGATCAGGTGCGTCCTATGGAGCGAAAAATACGGTAAGTCTACTTTTTATCTTGCTGCTCAATGTTCTGTAACATTTTGTTTTGTTGACATTGTTGCAAATATTGTTAAGGGTTTCCGATCTGTATTTAACATATTTCCCCCACGTATTTGCATGGCAAACACATGACATCCTTTGATGTCATGCAACAGAATTTCACAACTTTCTACTATGCTTTGAAATTATAAGTACAAAGTGTTTAATTTACTAATTTTCAAACACTCCACTGTCAAGGACCCTATCCTATCCTCGTGCTCCCTTCCATCTGTCCTCTTCAGCTAACGGCTCCACCTGCTAGCTGGCCTCTTATTCACTGGCACCCTCATAATCATAACACTCCTTGTGGTGACCCCATCTTGCTTCCTGGCTGAGGACCCCAATGCATGTCTGCACCAAATATACAAACCAAGCATAGGCAGACACTCAAATCAATATATAAGCAGAAAAGGAAAGGTGCACATGGGTGGGGCAATGCATTAGACATGTAAAAAAATTTTGCATGAGATACAGATCTTAACAAAAATCAATCAATAAATAAAAAACTGTTTTTAACATTTTAATTTAAAAACATAGGTTTTCGTTGCATCCATTTGCAAATATATGAGAGACCATACTGCCATGCCAAGACATCTCTGCAAAGTTTCTAACTCTAAACTATATGACTACCCAAACTTAGAGCAGGTCCCCTTTAAAAAACATTTAGAGCAGCCAGGCTTACCTTGGAGCTAGCACACAAGGACAGAAAGCCACAAGCTGGTAATACTATCTAGGGCTAAGCCATGGGTAGGTCAGACAGTAAGAAGATCACTTTGAACTATGCAATATAGTTTGCCAGTCTGATCAACAATGCTTTTAAAGTATGAAAAGTATTAAATATTTAAGTTGCTCTCGATCAAATCCCATTAAATAATATGTCTTTCAGCCCTTAGACTTAATGCACACTTGGTGTTTAGTCCATGTATGTCAAGTCCCATTTTTTTCGGTGCACCTGGGAGGCAACGTCCATCCCTACTGCTAGCAACATGTCAAAATCTATGACAGGCCTAAATACTTGGTGGCTTGTATACAGCATTAAACCATGTGCTACAGTGCCCAGCCTTGCCTAGACTGTCATAGGTTTTGGCTGCTGCTGACTGGGATAGAAGCTGCACCTGTGCCTTTTGGACAAAAGAAATTGCCAGGATTTCACACAAAGGACTAAACATCCAGTGTGCATGTAGCCTTAATTATCCATGCATCTGATATCCTTACAGTTTTCCCTCCCAGGAAAGTGCCACAAATACCTGTTTTTAACCACTTGCCTACCGGGCACTTATACCCCCTTCCTTACCAGGCCAATTTTCAGCTTTCAGCGCTGTGGCACTTTGAATGATAATTGCGTGGTCATGCAACATTGTACCCATATGAAATTTTTATCATATTTTTCTCACAAATAGAGCTTTCTTTTGGTGGTATTTACTTGCCGCTGGGGGTTTTATTTTTTGCGCTATAAACAAAAAATAAAAGCAAAAAATGTGAAAAAAAAAAGTTTCTTTGTTTCTATTATAAAATTTTGCAAACATTTACTGATGTGCGTTGATGAGGCTGCACTGATAGGCAGCACTGATGGGCACTGATAGGCAGCACTGAAGGGCACTGATAGGCAGCACTGAAGGGCACTGATAGGCAGCACTGATAGGCGTCACTGACTGGCGGCACTGCTGGGCACTGACTGGCGCAACTGCTGGGCACTGACTGGCAGCACTGCTGGGCTGCACTGATGGGCACAGGTGGGTGGCACTGATGGGCACAGGTGGGTGGCACTGATGGGCAGAGGTGGGTGGCACTGATGGGCACAGGTGGGTGGCACTGATGGGCAGAGTTGGGTGACACAGGTGGGTGGCACTGATGGGCACAGGTGGGTGGCACAGGTGGATGGCACTGATGGGCACAGGTGGGTGGCACCGCTGGGCACTGGTGGGTGGCAACGCTAGGCACTTGTGGGTGGCACTGCTGGGCACAGGTGGGTGGAACTGGTGGGTGGCACTGCTGGGCACCGATCATCAGGGCACTGATCATCAGTACCCTGATGATCGGTGCCGATCCCTGCTCTGACAACTGCCGGTTCTCGGCAGTACTTTCCCCACGTTCTGACAGCGTGAGGAAAGTGCAGCCGAGAACCGGCAATTGCATTTCTCTGTGATCAGCGTGTCATTGGACACGGCTGATCACGTGGTAAAAAGCTGCTGTGATTGGCCTTTTACCACATCACATGATCAGCTGTGATGGAGCTGTCACAGAGATCGCCGGGTGCGTGCCCCGGGGGGGGGCGCACAGGAGAGCGCATTCTGGGAGGACATCATATGAAGCCCTCCCAGAACTGGCCGGCTGCAGTGTAGCCGTCATTCGGCTATCTGCGGTAGGCAACTGGTTAACTTGCCAGTGAAGTCCATGTAATGCAGCTTCCTGTGATGGTGTGGAAACAATGCTGCACTGCTCCTGAATTCATAGCATTGTAGCTATTCTCAAGGAAGTTGTGCCTGATTGCACTACAGTGGGATGATTTTCTTTTTTTGGGGAGGGGCATGGCTATCAGCATTGTCAGTACTGATTCACAATCATGTAGCTTGACAATCAGCACCTGGCCACACCTTGTCCTGCTCACTGCTTTCTAGATTGAGAGCACCTTTTGTGGTAGTGAAACAGAGATTCATGTGAGTGATCCGTAAGGCCTGGATTATATTAAAAGCACTTTATGACATTTTTGGGGGATCATTCTCAGAAGGTGAGGGTGTGCCCAAAGAGCAAATCAGGGTGGAGGCTTCTTCTTTGAACAAGTTTCGGGGGGTAAAAAATTGTGGTGGATTTTTGGATCTGTACCATTACACACGGTGCCTATATTTTTTGCACTTTGTGATAATGCATTTGGATAAAGCGTTTTGAACTTACACTTTATTTTTGGAAGCAGTTACTGTGTGGACTAAATGTCTTTATATGTGTAGTGCTACCCTTGGCTAGGGCCACTGATTTAATGTCCCAGGTTCTATTCCTGCTATTTCAGCAGCCAGGCAAACATTTTCACACTGTTTTGAAATTTTATTGCAGTATTAATTTGGATCGGGGAGCTGTGAAATACTCCACATTACTAACTGGAACAATGAGGACACTCTTTCTTGTAGTAGTTGAACTATAGGCAAAACGTTTTTTTTTTTTTTTTCATTTTGAATAGAGCAAGGGAGGGATATAACCTGTGTCAGATTTTTTTTACTATCTGTGTCCCATTGCCAAGATTTCCCTTCACTTCCTGTCCCATAGCCAAACGGGAAGTGAGAGATAACCCCTACAAATTAGGGGAATCCCTGGGGAATCCCCAGGTCATCAGAACTAGTGTCTCCATTGGAAGCTTTACCCTCTATTACTTTTCTCAGGGACAACCCAAAATCTGTGATTTTCTTTTACTTTCACTTTCAATCATAATGGTAAACTGGACAAATAGAGAGGATATATCTCCCTAATTGGGGCACAGACAGCAATAAAAACTGATAAGTGTTCTAATCCCTCTGCACTCTATTCAAAACTAAAAAAAAAGGTTTTGCCTTTAGTTATACTTTAAGTTGTGGGACATTAAGTTTACATCTCTGGAGCACAAATAAAATGATCCAGGCCAGGCAAGCTTTGTACTTTTTGCACTGGGGGTGATAAAAGCACACAGTCACTGAAACTTCTTTCTCTCTCTGGGTCAGTGCTCACAGTGTCCTTCCAGGATAGAATGCAACTCTAAATCCAGCAGAAAGGCCCTCCCTGTGAACTTCCAAGGCAGGTCTTCAGTGGTGCCACTTTTTGGTCCCTGAAAGGGTTTGTGGCTGAGCAGGCCCTCTCAGCTAAGGCTGGACCTTCAGCAATACAGCCAGTAACGTAGGCAGTCCTCCCTGGCTGGGAACTTCTCCTGAACAAGAATCCTGCTCTCAAAGGCTCTAAAGTATTTATCCACACCCCAACCACCTTCTGAGCAACACCTCCCCAGGGAATGGCTGGAGTTACATAAATATTCAGACTGCTCATCTGACTCTCTCACCCTCTATGTTCTAGAAAGCTCCAGAAAAACAGGGGGAGCAGTCAAACTTGTGGTCTGCAGAGCCCAGAGCAGCCCAAAACAAACACATGTAGTTCAGCTGATTACAGGAGAGCAAAACTAAATTTGTCTAACCAAAAAAACCTAGCAGCCTAACTAGGAGGGTGCTATGTATGATTTTGCCATACACTTGAGTATGTTTGTATGAGATGGAATAGTGCAGCATGTCGTCACATAATGTTGGTGGTGATTAATTCACAATTTGCGAGCAGCTGAGTTTAGAGTCTTTTGTGCACAAAATTGTTTTTACAAATACTTGCAACTGTACTAAACTACTAGCATTTTCAAGTGCTTTTTTCCACATATAGTATACATTTTTGAGACACTTCCTGGCAGATGCCAGCACACAGTAACAGTATGTTTAGCAAGTCTGCTGTATCCGTATGCCGGAATCTACAACGTACTCTGGCAGAAGTGTCCTTTATGCTTGATTTCCGCTATTTGAGGCTTTGAATGGACAATTTCAAAGATATCATGTGACTGACAAAGGTACAGTGTTTCTACACAGCCCTGTTTGTATTCTACAAACTGTATACATGAGTATTTCTACCTTCTATGGTGGCATAAGCAGGGCCAGCGTTAGACTATTTTGCACCCTAGGCAAGACCAGATACTTGCGCCCCCCCCAATAAATAAATAAAATATCTTTTAAAAACAGTAGAAAATATTAAATCATCAAAACATGAAACTTTTAAATTTCTTTTAATTTGTAAAAATAAGTGCCATAAGATGCCACCAGCACCAAAATCAAAAGACAAAATCAGTGTCACAGACGGAATGTATCTGGGGCTGGCAGTGGCAGATTGACAGTTGCAATGAGTGGAAGATGATGGATCCACACTCTGACACATCCCCGGCTGGGATTCCCCAGGCAATGGGGGGAGATAAAAGGCTGTGACAGCAGCAGCTGAACTGAGCGATCCCGCACAGTGACAGATCCGATACAACACACCAACACTGACACAGATCAGCAGGCACTAGAAGAGCACATTGTGGGATCATGGTAAAGTCATCATCACTCACTGACACATTGCACATGTGATGGATGGCCGGCCAGCTGGGTCACACTCACACAGACAAGAGATATCGGAGTCAGACATTACCTTCCTCCGCAGGCGCAGCTCTGCCTCTACTAATGAATGGGAAGAGAAGGGCTGGAACTCCACAGTGATCAGCAGCAGCCAGCTGGCTTGGAGTAAGGGACTGAGTCCAGAGAGGAACATTGGAAGTAACGGCAGTTCAGCTGCTACCCTGGCCCCAGACATCTGGAATCCTCCTCTGTCCTTTCTTCCTCCCCTCTGCTACCTTTCCTCTCAGCTGAAGGATCATTCATGACGTAGCGAGGTCCCGCACAGAGAAAGTGCTGGCCTGTGCTGCACCCAGGCACCCCTAGGTGGCAGTGCACCCTAGGCAGCCGCCTAGTTTGCCCGGTTTACCCCAGCCCTGGGCATAAGGTGTATTGTCATCAACATGTGGGAGCTGCTGACAATAGTGGATTCCGAAGCCTATGGAAAACCACAGTGGATAGAAACTATTGGAGTAATTCGCCTCTATTATAACTTGTATTATAGGGCTGAGTCCAGCCTGGGACACATTTGGACTTATAGTTCTGGCATTGTCCACTCTGGGTTATGGCTGTTATTGTGTATTTGTGCACCTAATTCTTTTCTGAACATTCGCTTATTCAAAAAGTAATTTTGAGGCAGCCTGGTTCTACAAGCAGTCCCTTTGTTACGCACACGATAGGTTCTGTAGGTTTGTTTTTGTTGAATTTGTACGTAAGTTGGAACAGGTACATTTTCTAAGTGTAGCTCAAGCCGGAAAAATATTGTTACATTTTTGGGATAGCATAATGAAGGGTTAATACCCTTGTAATGTTTGTTTTGCGGTCTGTGCCCCTCTTCAGAAGATTTCACCTCACTTTCTGCCCCTCTGACAATTGGATTTTGAAAATGTTGGATTGTCATGGAAACAAGGATTGGTGATAAACCTTCAGTCGAGACATCTATTTTCTCGTGATAACTCTTACAGGAGTGAAATTCCCTTCCTAGGGGTAGATTACCTCTCACTTCCTGATTCCCTCTCCCTTTGTAAGTCGAGTCGTTCGTAATTTAAATGTTCGTAACTCGGGGACTGCCTGTATAGATATTCATAGGCATAAATTTGTGTCAATCAGGAGAGCTGCTGTGTATAATAAAAGGATCAGGTATCAGGGTGAGTGCCAGAGTAGAACCTAACCTATAATATACAGGACTTCTATTATGGACTAATGTGCATTTATTTATATGAGATGTTATACATCTTTCTCTTTTGCCTGTTATTCTCTTTACATGTCTGTTTTGTCTACATTACATAATGGGTAATAGATGTCTCTCTTTCTCCTCCTCTCTGTATATGATGTAACACCCTCTTAGATAGGTGCTAGGTTTAGATTGATAAGATTTAGTTGTGTTTTGATAGGTAAATTTAGTTGTCGCACTGTAGTCAGTGTGGTTGTGATTTCTGTTAGGTAAAAGCATAACTTACACACTGTAATCAGTGTTGCTGTGTTCTGCTAGTTAGGTCTGCTCGGTGAGATCTGCTGCTGCCAGCCTGATAGCTCCCTCTGCATCCAAAAATTTCTGGATGAAAGGTGTGGAGCTATGCAGATGGCAGCATGAATATTGATACAGCCCTGGTTTATCGCATAGAGAGATAGGCTCTGATGGCATGCTGGGTAACTGTATATATTCAGTAAGCACACAGAGTTCTGGGTCTTTCCTGTATAGCAGTGGTCTCCAAACTGCGCTTTGCTTGCTCTTATCTGGCCCTTGGAGCACTATTTAATTCACTGATACCAACAAAGGGGCACAATTCCTCCCAATGACACCAACGATTGGACACAATTCTTCTCAATGACACCAATGATGAGGCACAGTTCCTCCCAATGACACTAACAATGGGGCCCAATAACACCAGAGATGGGGCACATTCTTTCCAATGACACCAGTGATGGGGCACAATTCCTCGCATTGACACAAGTTATAGAGCACAATTCCTCCCAATGACACCAACAATTGTG